TGAGGCTGAGGCAGGCTGAGGCTGAGGCCGAGGCTGAAGGCAGACTGAGGCTGAGGCTGAAGCAGGCTGAGGCTGAGGCTGAGGCAGGCTGAGGCTGAGGCTGAGGCAGGCTGATGCTGAGGCAGGCTGAGGCTGAGGCTGAGGCTGATGCAGGCTGAGGCTGAGGCAGGTTGAGGCTGAGGCCGAGGCTGAAGGCAGACTGATGCTGAGGCTGAAGCAGGCTGAGGCTGAGGCTGAGGCAGGCTGAGGCTGAGGCAGGCTGAGGCTGAGGCTGAGGCAGGCTGAGGCTGAGGATGTGACTGCGACTGCCGTTGCCACTGCGACTGTCATCGCGAATGCGACTACGACTGCGAGAACAGCAGAATTCTACAACTGGATTCTCATCTGAATCTTAAGGGGAATGCTTCCAGATATGCTCCTACACATCGCTGTTAGGTTGCTTTGCCGGGATTTTCTTTTTTTGTTTTCTGTTCGTGCCCCCTCCTCCGATGAGAAAGAGGGAGAGAGACCGATCGGGAGAGAGAGAGAGAGAGAGGGACAGAGAGAAAGAGAGAGCAAGAGAGCAAGAGAGAGAGAGAGAGAGAGAGAAAGAGAGAGAGAGAGAGAGACAGAGGAGAGAGAGAGAGGGGGAGAGACAGTGATCTTTCAGTCTATAACGATGTAGATTTACATGATGTGTGTGTATGTATGTATGTATGTATGTATGTATGTATGTATGTATATATATATATATATATATATATATATATCGGAGGTGAGGGGGTGAGATCGAAGTGGAACGGAGAGCCCCCCTACCGGGAAATCGATTTCGGTTTCGTGTTCGTGCGTGCCGTGCGTGGGCGAGGCGAAGCTGCGTGGGCGGGCGAGAAAAAGTCTCCTGTGGCTGAGGCGCGGCCGGACCAAATGACTCCCTTCCGGGCGGCCGGTGGCCCGCGGTGTCCCGCCGGTGTCCCGCGAAAGTCCCGTGTGGCTGAGGCGCGGCCGGACCAAATGTCTCCCTTCCGGGCGGCCGGTGGCCCGCGGTGTCCCGCCGGTGTCCCGCGGTGTCCCGCGGTGTCCCGCGGTGTCCCGCGGTGCCCCGCGGTGTCCCGCTGGTGTCCCGCGGTGTCCCGCGATGATGATGATGATGATGATGATGATGATGATGATGATGATGATGATGATGATGATGATGATGATGATGATGATCATGATGATGATGATGATGAGATGATGATGGTGATGATGATGATGATGATGATCGTGATGCTGATGATGATGCTGCTGATGATGATGATGAGGTTGATGATGATGATGGTGATGCTGATGATGATGGTGATGAAGAGGACGATGATGATGATGGCATGATGATGGTGTCCCGATGGTGATGATGATGATGATGATGATGTCGATGATGATGATGACGATGATGATGATGCTGATGGTGTCCTGATGATGAGGATGATGATGATCATGATGATTATGTTGATGACCATGATGATGGCGATGATGGTGTCCCGATGATGATGAGTATGATGATGTTGATGTTGATGATGCTGACTATGATTGTGTCCCAATGATGATGTTGATGATGATGAGGTTGATGATGATTATGGCGTCCCGATGATGATGATTATTATGATGGTGATGATGATGTTGATGATGATGGCGTCCCGATGGTGATGATGATGATGTTGATGCTGATGCTGGTAATGATGATGATGGTGCCCCGATGATGACGATTATGATGATGATGCTGATGATGATGTTGATGATGCTGATGATGATGATGTCGATGATGAGGATGAGATGATGATGATGGTGCCCCGATGATCATGATGATGATGATAACGATGGTGATCATGATGGTGTCCCGGTGATGATGCTGCTGCTGATGATGATGATGATGACGATGACTGTGTCCCGATGGTGATGATGATGATGCTGATGTTGATGATGATTGTGGTGATGGTGATGATGCTGATGATGATGATGATGATGATGATGGTGGTGTCCCGATGATGTTGATGACTGTGATGATGATGATGTTGGTGTTGATGATGAGGACTGTGTCCCGATTACGATGATGTTGGTGATGATGATGATGATGTTGATGTTGATGTTGTTGTTGATGATGATGATGACGTTGATTGTGGGAGCGGTTGTGATATCGATAGTGAGATCGATCGTGAGACCGAATGTGATATTGATTGTGGGATCGATTGTGAGATCGATTGTGAGATCGATAGTCAGATCAATTGTGAGATAGATCGAGTGAGATCGATTGTGAGATCGATCGAGGGAGATCGATCGAGCGAGACCGATACTGAGATCAATAGTGAGATCGATAGTGAGACCGATCGAGTGAGACGTTGGTTCCTCCCCCCCGAACCTCCTTATCACCCGAAGGGTGGTCGTATAGGTATAATCATGTATATCGAGAGCGCCGGCGGCGCATCACCGGCCGCTCCCTGGGAGTTTCACGCACCTGGTCCGTACTCTCGTGGAAGCAGGTTTGAAGCCTCTTTGGGGGCTCTTGGGCGCCGTTCGGGAGCCGTCTAGGGGCCTTCCGAGGCCTCTTGGGTTTTTTTGGGACGCCTGCTGGCGGTCCGGGAGGTCCCGTTTGGGCAGAAACCTGGAAATCTAATTGTTGACGCTTCGCGAATCCCTACCAGCCGTCACTCTCGATTGACCGTGTGTCTCTCTCCAGGTCGGGTGCAGGTGTACCCCTGCACTGCGTCACATCCTGTCGTTGATCTCTCGCGTGCAGACGCATCCCTCCGCAGTTGTTCTGAGGTTGACCCCGGTTGTCTATGACTTCAGGCGTACCCTGTCAGCCGCCGGATGCGTTTTCTGAAGCTGCGACGGTTCGCTGGCGCTGTCAGAAATTCTTCTCCCTGCTGGACGACGTCAGCTCTACGCCTTCGGTCCGCTCATACCCGACAGACACCCTGGGCTCCCTGACACCTCTCTTGCACGGAGACTGATTCCCACTACCATGCGATTGTCTGACCGACACGATCCATGACTGGGGATGTGCGGCGCGCCATTTTGGCTGCGTCCGCCCTGCTTCCTGGGTGGCTGACCCCTCAGACTCCCTGGGCTGCAGTTTGCACCGCCGCCTGATCCGCGGCCCCCGCGCGCGCCCGGGTAATTCGTGACGGCCGAAGCCCGACCGTGACCCGCCGCCGCCGGCGCTTCCGCCTGCGGCTGTAAAAAAAAAAAATCCCTACCAGCCCATCCAGAAACGATGCCCAGAGGAATTCCCTCGATCAGGGAAGCGGGCAGCACACAGAGGAAGGGTCCCCCAGTGGAGGCTTCTTGGAGCGTCTTGGGGGCTTCTTGGCGGTCCCGGACGCCTCGTAGAGCGTCTTGGGTGCCTCGGAGAGCTTCTTGGGGCCTCGTGGGGGTCTCCTGGGAGCCTCTTGGAGGCCTCTTGGGCGCCTGTTGGGGCCTCCTGGGGCCTCCTGGACGCCTCTTGGGGCCATCTTGAAGCGCTCTTGGGGGCCTTGGGAGCGCTCTTGGAGCCCTCATTGTGCCATCTTGGAGCCATCTTGAGGCCTCGGCGAGAAAGCCAAACAATTGATTTTCTAAAGGTGTTGGAAGAATTTTGGCCTCTTCGGGGCCTCCTGGGGGAGCTCTTTGGCCACTTGGAGCCGTCTTGGAGCGGTCTTGGGGCCTCTCGGAGCATCGTGGGCGCCATCTTGAGGCATCTTGGGATATCTTGAGCCATCTTGGAGATCATCTTTGGCTCTCCCAGGCGCTCTTGGAGTCATCTGAAGCAGTGCCCCCCCCCAGGAGGCCAACATGTTGCCAAAAATAATCTCAAATCAACGATTTTGGCATTGTCGCCGAGGCCTCTTGGAGCGTCTTGGGTGCCTCTGGGGGGGGCCTCTTGGGGCCTCGCGAAGGTCTCTTGGAGGTCTCTTGGGGGCCTCTTGGGGGCATCCTGGGGGCCTCCTGAGGGCCTCTTGGGGCTTCCTGGCCACCTCTTGGGGCCCTCTTGGGGCACCCTTGGGAGCCTTGGGGGCCATCTTTGGGCCATCTTGGGTGAGATCGATCACAGGAGGGGGGTACTAATTAGGGCCCCCCCCCGAGGCCAAAATGACGCAAAAACCTTAGTAGA